TGCTTTGTGACTTGGTAAGGAGTCCCAGAAATCAGAAACCCAGAACGGGGAAAAAATATGATTGATTGCAAAAATGGCCACAACCTTTCATCCCTCCTCTATCCATGCCTCTTTGCTATGGAAGTTTGTAGCTCTTTCCATCAAGAATAGTCTATTTCACCACTGCTTGAACCTGGGCTGGCCTTCTGACTTGCTTTGGCCAACAGAATGTGGCAGAAGTAGCAGTGTGTCTGTTCTGAGGCTAGAACTCAAGACGCTTTGCATACTTTATTGCCACAATCGTGAGAGCAAGTCTAGGCTAGCCTGCTGGAGGAAGAGAGACCACAAGGAACCAGAAACAAGATCATCCCAGACTAGCCAATCCCCAGTATCTGCCAGTGAGACTAGTTAAGACAATTGCTCAGTTGAGCCCAGCCCAAATTGCAAAACTGTAAATTAAATAGGTGGTGATTATTTTAATCCATTAGAGGTAGTTATGCAGCTAAAGCTTACTTTCCTGATGTTAAGTTTGGCAGTTGAGAGCCACTTAGGCAGCTCATTGCTTGAATTGCTCTGCTTATCCATACCATCATTGTCCTGGACGAATCTTGTGAGCATGAAAGCTGCTGGGTGAATAGTAGTACAAGGCTAGTTTGATGCACAAAATGCACAAGGCCAGTTCGTGTACAAGATGAGGCATTGCTTCACCAAATCTTCCTGATGGGTATGTCTGCAGGTTTGATAGACCAATCTGGAGAATCAGTACTCTACCAAGTTAGAGACTCAATCAGTGAATACAACATGGGATAATTGAAAGTTAATAGTAAATGACTTGTGGGAAGAGACACTGAATACTAGAATGAATGACTTAGTAAATGTTTTCCCAGGGAAAAAATTTAGGAGTGATATAATCATAACGACAATCTTGATCTACTTTTTATTGAGCACATGCCTTGTGCCAGGCACTTCACTAGAGACTTTATATACTTTTTCTCATTGAACTCTCATAAGGCTTTAACCCTCAGAGGTGGGTATTATTTTCAGTTTTATTGGTAAATATACTGAGGCTCCAGAGAGGTTAAGTAATTTACCTAAAGCTACGTAAATACTAAGTAACAGAAAGTGGATTCAGACCCCATTAGGAATAGATGTCTACAACTGGAGGGTTAAGTAGAGGCCAGTAGGAGACAGAGGAATGAAAAAACTGGCCTTTGAGCATGCCTTTAGCTCTAAGTTTTTGTTAAATTGTAGCAGATTTTTTTCTTGTAGTGAGCCTTAGACAACCAATGGAAACCAACCCAGAAGCTGACGGTAAACCAGGGCTATGGCATGGGCTGCTATTTTGCCTTCCAATGTTCATTCTTCTTTTCTCTGGAACAGAACTCCTGAATTTTAGTCAGGCACGTATCCATCTCAAAGGCACGATACTTCTCAGTTTTCTTTGCAGACAGCTGTGGCCCTATGAGTAACTTTTGGTCAAATGTGAGGTGAAGAGAATGTAGCGTTTTTCTAACAATTCCTCCTTCTTTTTGATTGCAGTACAGACAAGTTGGAAATTGAGCAGCAGTTTTAGGTCATACAGTGCAGCTAAGTTCCCGTAGTTGGAAACCAACCTTCTCAACGGAGGTGTTGCTGTAGCTGCCCATTTGCTGGTTGAAATCTCGACTCAGTTGAATGGTCCAGGCTGTGTCATTGATCTTCCACAGAGATTCTTTGAGCAACTGTGGTAAGAAGTGGAAGTTAGATAATAATGTGACTGTTTAATGTGCTTTCTTGGTATTTTTTGGTTACATTATTTTCAAAAGGAACTTTTTGCCTTAGTTTATTTTAAAAGCCATATTCCGTTATGTTCTGAATTCCAAGTTACACAGAATGTGGAAGTAACTCCAAGTAATTGCCTTCATTTTCCTCCTTAAATAAAAATTGCTTAAAGACTGAAAATAGAAACTAATCCATTCTGAAACTTGAAGTTAATGTTTTTCAAGTTGTCAATAGATTTGGAAAAACTCCATTTGTCAATGATAGTTTATTATATACCAAAAAAGGGACATTTTGGAATAAAGAATTAAATGTCTTGGAGAACCAATTAGATGTACAGGCACTTTTTGCTAACTAAATATTCCTAGTTTCATCAATGATTCAGAGCCAAGGACACAATCAGTCATCTGAACTCATGTCCTTCTTCATTGAACAATACATAAAAAAGTGTTTTTATTTTTCTGGAGGACAAGATTCATTGCAATTTCTAAAATCTATTATTTTTCCTGTATTTTCTCCGTTTCAAGCTTTGACACTTCATGTCAAAGCCAATGAAAGTATTTGTATGCATTTTCTTAATAGGAACTCATTCAGTGAGTGGGTCCTTTGAAGAGAAGAAATTGAACAGCCTTGGAAGTTTAAGGGGAAAAGGCACCTACAAACAGTTTTGGAAGAAGAAGGCTAGAAACACATTCAAGATTGGAAAAGGGAAAGAAACTGTTCTCAAAGCTTCTCTCTAGAGAAAGAACCTTCCTTTCTAGTAAAAACCATTATTTTAAAATGATATCAGGGAGTAAGGTAGGAATTTGGAGAGAGAGGAGAGATAAACATGTGTATAGTAAGAGAGGTGGATCCTATAATTAAGGACCGGGAGAGGAGAGCGGTCGTCAATTTAAAATCTCATATTGAACACAATTTGCTCTGGGGAGTCTCCAAAACATGTCAGTTTTCAGGTACCACCCCCAGAGAGTCTGATTCTGGATGTGGTGGTGCTGGGAGGTGGAGGTGCTGTGGAAAGGTCACTGAAAATTGACATTTTAAAAGAAGCAATAGGTAAATTTCCTATTAAGGTGGTTTACGAACTGAAACTCTGCTAGATTAAAAGCTCCCTGCCCATTGGTTGCTTGACCTCCTCCTGTAGGCTCTTGGGATCAAAATCCTCCTTGTATAGCCAATGTTCAACTCTTGTCTGCAATTTACTGTTTTGAGAGATTTGGCATTGTCTGGGGCACTGTTTACTTGTGAAGGTCCAAAAAGTCTTTGGGTGAAAGAAGGAGATTCTTGCCTGGAAAAGAGGCACAGTATGGCTCTTTGGTTTTTAGAAATCAGGAAAAAGACAGTGAGAAGCAGATAGAGGAAGAAATGGAGTTGTATTTAGGACCACAGAAGTGAAAATTATGTTAATCCATGTTTCTTTATATGAATGGTAAAATAATGCATTTGCAAGGAGAGAAAACACCCCTGAAAATTGGAGAAGATTTAAGAAAGACATAGAGAAAAATATTAGTAACTGAAATCTTCAAAAGTGTCATAAACTCTTAATCAAATTGGAGACTAAGGATTGTTGCTAAAATTATGTGATTTAAAAAGCATAACTCTTAAATGACCCCCTCTAACATTCTAGTGCTTTTTCTAAGAAAAGGAAATGTTGTTTACAGCCTCTTGGAATTCAATTCTTTTTAGTTAAAATGGATAACTTTAGCTGATTTCATCACCCATCAACAATTATGAATCTATCCTTACCTGAAGCAGCATGGTTTCCCATAGCACAATACTAGTGTTCTTTCCTAGAAAAAGAAATTAATGCAATAACTGCAAAAAAAATCAAGATTCGTTTGTCCCTTGCCAAGTCCCCAGTGGATGCTGGAGTTCATTTCAAGCTAAGCATAGGATGGTTATTTCAGATGAAATTTCCCATATCGCCAACTTTAAAGTGCTAATCAGATAGGTAGAGGGTCTTTGATTCATGATAAAATCTAGGCTTTTTGCTAATTTCAACAGTGACTACTGAAATGGCCATATTTCAGTACTCTAATGTGGTTGAGTAGTAACTTTTTAGAACAATACCAAAACAGCGTGTTTAAATACAAGAAAAAGACCAGGGCGAAAGCAAAAGTTCCTGCTAAGCGTGTCACCACCTGGTCTTCTTGTAGTGTAAGTATTTGGCAGAGAAATAGAACATAAGGAATCAGAAAAAAAATATATAGCTTCTGCCTTGCGTATCAAGTTCATTGTTTTTATTACCTATAAAGAACGGTAATGGCTTTAAACAGAGAAAATGATGCCTTGTTTCTTTGTATTCTTGCCTCCTCGGATAAAGACCTGATCCCACTCCCTTGTACCTTCTAGAGGCTGCAGGAGCTCAGGCAAGCGTTCTTTCCATAGGTTTATCAATTTGGGGTGAATTATCTCAGGCACTATCTTCAAAAGTCCTATTGCACCAGCCCCACATAATTTCCCTAAACTGGCGAGCATAGATATTACCTGAAAGATAGAAGAGAAAATGCTAATTGACTCAGGGGTATTTAAAAGGCCATCTACATTTTCCTTTTTACTATTAGCTAATCTTTTCACAAATCATCACAGTCTATTCTTACTTGTTCAAAAGCAAAAATCAACGGAAGGTACCAATACTTAGATATATTTATTAATTAAACAAGCACATGTGGAAATAGTGCTTGAGTAAATGATACATATGGGGCAAAAAGAAGAGAGGAAAATCTAAACAATAGACACGGAAGTTGTTTGAATGGTGCTTATGGATCAGATTCAGTCTATGTTTATTTTAAAATCATAAAGTTTAACAATCATTTCAGAGTGAGAAGATAATCCCACTCTGAGTATTATTAGTATAGCAGAACATTTTTTTTAATACCTTTAGTGTTTCTTTTAATTTGGAGTATCTATATAATTTTTATTAGCATTTATTTGGAACTGAATTGTCTATATTGGCTTAAATTTATCCCGCATTGGTTTTCTGTAACTAACTCACCAGAAGTCTGGCCAGTAGCTGTTGTGGTGAAGGAAGTTTCACTAGAAAGAGAAAGCAATTTTCATTATTGCTATGCGAGCTAGAAAAATTCATATTGGGGTTGGGTATGTGATCAAAGCCCTGTAGCCTTTCTGGAAATGAGACTCTCATAAGAGAAATGTTTTACTGTGTTTTTGAATGTACAAACCAGCTCCTGTAGAGATGACAAGTGCTGTCGACTCCATGGCATTATTCTTTTTTCTCTCCTCGGCCATAATCAGAATTCTGATGATACTAAACAGGTATTCCAGAGTTTCTGTATATTCTTCAGGTACTACAAAAGTCAGGATTCTTGGCCACAGCACCTGTGGAAAAGATAGGGCAAGATGCAAGGATCGCTTATTCTTTTCCATGATTTTTCTTTGGTTCTCACTGTGTGTTTACCTCTGACTTAGAAAAAAAATTTTCTCACTTATTATTTTGCTCAAGGTCAAATCAAAATGAAATTATTAAAAAAAATCTTTTCACAGCACATTCATTTTCAGATTCTGGATTTAGTGAATGTTGGTTAGTGTTTCTCCCCGAAGTTGTTGCTGGAACTTGGGGCAGGATGATTCTTCACTGTGCGAAGTGTTCTGAGCACGGCAGGAAGATTCGCATCCTTGGGCTTCCCTCACCAAGTGCCACCGGCTAAACAAACCCTCTGATCCACTTCAATTGCTCTTTTAAAAAAGTTTTCATTAAATCAATCTTCTGTTGCCTCCTGGCTATGCCATATATTTCTGGCCCCTAAATCTTTTCTCAGATTGTTTTATTTAAAGGAAAATACAGATTCCAAGGCTCAAACCCTTGAAGTTCAGATTATATTAGGCCTAGAGCGAGGCTAGGAAGGTGTGCTTTTTAACACCTTCCCAGATAAATGGGGGAAAGCTTAGCATTTGTTGCATTAGAATCACCTCTCGCATCTTAACAATGTGTCTAGGTATGTTAGGAGAAGAAGAGAAATTATATTTTAAGATACTTATAAACTGGCATTTGCTATCCAGATATGAGAGATTGTTAATTAATGAACCAATACCCGTTTTTGAGGAACTACTAAATGCTGGGCACTGAGCATCACAGCAACCTTCTTCTAGCCAGAGCATCAATAGCTGATGACCCACGGAGTACAAACTCATGTCTTTACTCCTAAATGGGCAGCAGAGCCTTAAAAAGGTGATTGAAGTAACTACAAGTGGTGGTAAACAAACAAACAAACAAACAAACAACCCTTACCTGAGGCATTCCAATGACTAGTGGATCCAGCGTTTTTAAGACCTCGAGGCTTGTTTCCCGGACAGATTTCTCCCCCTTTTCATCCTCATGGGAGTTAGGTTTCATCGGTTTCTCCTTTAAGAAAGATGAAACAGGTGACTTGTTAATAACTCTTTCTGTTGTTCCCCTCTGACTGCGCCTAGATGTGTTCTCAGACTCTGGGGTGAAGAATGCAGTCGCTCAACTTAAGGGGCTCATGGAATCCAGCAATCTTGGTCGTCAGCATCTGATCCTTGCTTTAAAATGTTCCTCGGAGGAATGGGTTAGAAAAAACACTCTTGGCTTACGCAGAAAAGCAAAAATTGTGAGGATCCTTGAACTGTCGATATCCCCTCGCTCCCTCAGGCCTTTGCTATTTTCTCTGGGGCAAAAATTTTTAAAGACACTGCTTCCCGGTGAAGTGGACTGTAAATTCAGTCCACTTGCTAAGATCACTGCTAAGATCACTGATGCTTTTCAGGCTATTCATCCAAAGGAAGCCAACTCCGGTGCAGCAAGTCTTGGTATCCCTCATTTTCTCTAAACTGTTTGTACTTTCTCTGCACCTCTCCAAAACACCCCTAAGCCTTGGAGGCCAGGTTGCCTCTTCCTTAGGGAAAACTGTGACTTAAGCTACCTTATATGCATTATAAGTTAGAAGTGATAACAATGAGAAGGAACTGAGAGCACTAGAGGTTGAAAAATTTATCAATAGGAGTAGTAAGACTTAAATATAAGTTTTAAGTCTGCTATTAAATTGAACCCCTACCATTTCTTTTAAAACCCAGTTATTTCAACTGTTCTTGTTATAGTGCAGCACTCAAAACCACAACCTCTTCATACCAGATTCTTGTTGGACATTGCAAACTGAGAGAAGACATAATTGATCAGTGGCCATCCTTCCCGGGCTTCGATGTAGCATTTCTCACACATAGTTTGGATGAGGAGGAGGGTGGAATTCCTCACCTAGAGTAAGAAAAATGCATTTGCAACATTCTATTACAGTTGAGTAGAATAGAAATTTAGTTTCTCTTACTCTTTTTTAACCTTCATGGATCATTCAATGGGAATCCTTTCCAAAAAAGTATAAATTGAATTATGTTACTATAATAGATGGAGCAGGTTATGATTAAAAGTTCCCTGAAAAGGCTCTCTTTAACTAAAATCTTTCTCCCTAGCTCCCAAGATATGTCTTCTATTATTATATATTATGAAATGTTGGTAAATTTAGGCTAAAACACTGCCTCACTTTAAAAATCCTCAGTGAAAGATAGCACACTGAGGTCAAGTTCCACAACCCCTTATCCACAAATTCAAAATCCAAACAACTCTGAAAACTGGAATTTTGTTTTTTAAATTTGGTGCCAACTCATTGGTTGGAAAAATCCAAACTGAGCCGCTTTAAAGCTATTTGTACTCTTTACTTATCCTATGCAGTGTGGATATCCATACATTTTTCTTATAGAAATATTAATGGATCTGATTGTAGGCTACTGTCACAATAATGTTTTTCTAAAATCTGAAACATTGTGAATTCTGAAATATATCTAGCTCTAGGGATTGGACTAAGGGATTATGGACCTGTGTTACAAGTTTTTAATACTTAGACTTCAGTGAATTTATTGGATTGCTTCTCTGGAAGATAGAAAGCTCAAATTTAATTCCTTATTGAATGGGTCTTTTGATGGAGAGTGGGAAGAAAAGAAAAATTGGGAACAAGGAGGCAGAGATACATGGTGGCAATTAGCTATTAGCATAAAGTTGCCCAGTAGTGCCCTGAGTGAAGAAAAAGAGGTACACCTTCTCTCTATTTTTGCCTGAGGAGCTGGCCTTCCTTAAAGTTTCTGTGCTCTTTTATTCTACCCTCACATCTTCTAGTAATCCTTCGATTGGCTTGCCAGTTGCTGGATCAGGTTTTTTTCTATACAATCACTCCATTGTTAGTCACTGCATAGCGTTTGTTATTTTAAACATAGTCACTGGCAATCAAAGCTTCTTATGGGAATTTTCTCCACTGGCTTCTATGTAGGGCTTTGATCCAAACAAAATACAAAAAATTACAAATAATGGTAATTTAAAAAATTTGTTCCAGCATAAGTTCTAAATCTTTTCTAACATGAAATCCTTTAATCAAATAATCAAGAAATATCAAGCAATCTATTATGTGCAAGACTTGCTCCCGGTGCTCCTGGCTGGAAAATAAGATATCTGTGCTCAGAACATGGTGCAGGAGTTATTATTTTTTGGAGGAAGATATACTATCTTAATAATTAGCAATTAGTTTTTAAACCCTCTATTTGAAGAACATGGCCCAGTGATGCTCTGAGCCAAAATCTTTTTTCTATTGAGACTAAATGTAAGTTAGAACTTTACCTTCATTCTGTTTATTTTGGGGAAAGATGGAGTTCTTTTAAAAATAGAATTGACTACTGAATTCATTGTAAAGTAATCTCGCAATTAGATCCTTAACCAGTCAAACCATTTTCTTTACTCTTAAAACTACCATCGACCAAATAAAAGTCCCCATTAATTCTCTTACTTTTATACTGAGGTCACCCATGACAAATCTGACTGTTCTTTCAATTGAAATGATGTGATCCCTCAACCTGGGCTCTGAAAGACAGAGGAGGAAATAGAGAGGCATGACTCAGCAGGAGTACAGCATGTTCTATGATTGATGAAAGTCCATTAGAGTTATGATACATAATTACAGGGTCTCTTGTCTTTAACATTTTCCTTTTCGAACTCTCAAAAAACGTCGATTGCTTTCTTTGCTCGCTATTATATTGGTTTCATCTTGTTTAAATTGTTAGGGTCTAAAGTGGATTCAACACATCACGCCCAGTGGAGCAGGTTTAAATTTTGTGAGACTACTTCATGTTTTCTGTTTGATCCTTCAGTAAATCCCACTGCTAACTAAATTTTGAAAACTATTATAATGTAGCACAAAAACAAATGATCATATTTTATTAATCTAAGATATCATCAATGTTATGAGGCACCATTAGTTTATATTACATCAAAAAAAGAAAAACTATAGTAGCTAATTATAATTTGAAATATGATCAATTATAGGATGTATTTCAATATCAGGAAAATGTGTGCACTTCTTGGAATTAAGGAAATATGATAGTTCATTAAATTCTGCTCTTTTTAAAATGTAATAATCTCCAGAATATTGTGCATTTTTCTCACCCATCCTATTTATTGGGCCACTTAACCAGCTTACTAGATCTTCTAAATTTCAAATTCATTTCTCAAATATTCTACTCATCATTCTCAACTCAGTGCATTAATAAATACCATGAAAGAAGAGAGGTAACTGAAATGCCTGTTTAAAAGTGGAAGATGGTAGACAACCAGGAGGACAGAGCTTCACTTGAATATGATATTCTATAAATATCCCAAAGACACAGGTTAGGGTTAGAGCATGCGTAAGTTTCAGTTTTCTTCTCGCTCCAAAATAAACCACTCTGGCTTCATCCCTATTGCTTACCTTCAGCACTGATAGCTGATCTTAGCAAAGTCAAGACTCCCCTTCGAACGACTTCATTAGTACTTCTTATCTGTTCATCAAAAAATTCTATCAGGTCTGCAGAGTTGGAATGGGCTGCAGGTTTAAGAAATACTGGGGTCATAAAAACTCATTTTTCATCTTAAGTAAAATAGTTGTGTATAAGGAGAGGGAAATTCTATGAGGATTGTTAAAGTTGCTCTTAGGTTGGTGGATAGATTTTATTATGTCCTTGCTTCTTTAGTAATCGTGACACTATTTAAGCAGTTTGGTCACTAAGAGCTTTCTATACCTAAGCCCACTTCTGTTCATACCTGTGTATTTGACTGTATTTGGAGATTAGGTTCTTTGCAGATGCAATCAAGTTAAGATTAATAGACATAAGTCACTAGGGTGAGCCCTAATTCAATATGGCTGATGTCTTTTTTTTTTTTTTCCATGTTCAATACACACTATTTATTGGGTTCTGGCAGATACACCAGTGGTACAAACCAAAGCTTGTGTAAATTGCTCTTTTGCTTATATTTGAAAGTAAATGTGTAAGCTAATTTCTGATGCAACCAACAACAGACAGGTCACACCCATAATCTCTAATGCCATAAGAGGTTTATATACAGGTTTCAGAAGTATCATAATTCACTCAAAACCATTAGACATCATGTATTAAGCTGACGTCTTTATAAGAAAAGGAGAGGAGACATGGAGGTACAAGGAGAACACCTTGTGAACATGGAGGCAGAGACTGGAATGAGGCTTTACCAGCTGTGAAGACAAAGAGAAACACAGGTAGAGCAGGAAGCAGGCAGGAGTGAGGAAAGGCCTGGCTAGAGTAAAGCAGTTTGGGTTGAAAGTTGTCAAAGATAAAGTGAAACAGTTAAATAGGCTGAGACAGAACAAAGTCTAGAAACCGAAGTATTAGTTAGAAAACTAGAACATAATAGAAAGGTGTACAAAAGTAATAGAAATGATATATTTGAGGGAGGACGTAGGTTTGGGAGGTACAGGATTGCTCTCGTCTTTCTCCTTCAGGGACCATGTTAGAGATTACCAGGGAGAAAAAAGTATAACTTTGGGTTTGACACAGTTTGAAATAATTTTCTATCTTTAGGGTTACCAACTCACCCTGGTTTGCCTGGAAATAAACCCATGCGTATATGGTCAATTAATTTTTGACCAAGGAGCCAAAAATATTCAATGGGGGACAGGATAGTTTCTTTAGTAAATGGTGCTGGGAAAACTGGATAGCCACGTGCAAAAAAAATACCAAAAAAAAAAAAAAAAAAAAAAGGAAAGGGAAAAGAAACTGGATTCCTATTAAACCATACACAAATTTAAAATGAAGAGGGATTAAAAACTTGAATGTAAGACCTGAAACCATAAAACTTCTAGAAAAAAAGATAGAGAGAAAGCACCTTGACACTGGTTTTGGCAATGAGTTTTTGGATTTGACATCACAAACAGAGGCAGCAAAAGCAAAAATAACCAAATGGGACAACATCGAACTAAAAAGCTTCAGCTCAGCGTAGGAGACTATCGACAAAATGAAAAGGTGACATATGGAATGAGAAAAAAATAATTGTCAATGATATATCCAATGAGGGGTTAATAGTCAAAATACATATGAGATTCTTCTGGTTTTAAAACTTAAAGTTTTATCTCCTTAGAAGTTCTTTAGTCCTGGGATGATTAATCACTCTATATATTACGCTCCTCTTGGGAACAGGTGAGGTAGGGACAGGCACAGAATACTACGAGTTGCAGAAACATTTTGTGTGTATATGCGTGAAAGTAACTAATGTGACAGTGTGCACACCCGTCATCATTGTCATCATCACTTGGAGACATTTTTATTAAAAGTCTTCTGGATGCTTAGTCCTACCTAGAATGAGGAAGCAACTGGAAGCTTCAATTTCATTTTCCTTTACCGAAGGCTCTTGAACTCTGCACACCTGAATCAGAAGGGTAGATGTTAAAAACAGAAAACCAGTGAAAATGAAACAATCAGGTGGGACAGCATGGTCTTCTTACCTGGTGGAGTAAATTGATGAAGATGGCTCTTTTCAAGCCCCTTGGAAGGCCAATATCATAAAGGACTGCTGCAGTCAATATTTGTTTTAGACTCTAGAATGGAAGCTCTCAAAGGTTAGCTGGAGGCTGCCCGTGAAGCAGCAAGCACAGGATGGGAAGGCAAATAATTATTTTTTGTGAGGAAAACAAACCCATAACTTTTCTGCAGTTATGTTTTGTTTATTTGTTTTTAGCTATATATTGCACTATATATATTAAGTTTTTCTTTCCAGCCCCTCTACCTTGTTCAGTGCCTCAGCAGCCTTAAAATAAAATTCTCAATTCCTTTTCCAAGTTTCCATTATCCAGCTATGCCAACCTCTTGTCTAGTTTGTACTCCTTAGGAAGTATTTATGTTCAGCTGCCCAAACAGGTATTTAAGTTCCGTAGACCCTCTGGGACTTAATATCTCTTAGGATGGTCGCCAGCTGACTCTCTGAATCAGTTCCTGTAGAGAGTGGCTCTTACCTGAGTGACATGGAAGTCAATCTCTTTGTCTTTATACTGATTCAGGAGCCAGGGGACCTGACCCAGGGCGTAGTCACAGAGGTCTTCCCGATGGAGCAGCAGGCTCACTGTGGGGCCATGGGCCTTAATGATGGACAACACCTACAAAGGCCGCAAACAAAGACCATTTCTGGTAATTCAGGATGCTTTTTGTACATTTCTAAGAAATACAGGAGCTTTAGACAGCCCCCCAATATATTCTTCACTGCTTTTTAAAAAAGATATATATAAACTCAGCTAGTTTTTAATCTATTTTTAAACTTTAATTAGTTTCAAGTATACAGTACATTGGTTAGACATCTATATAGTTCGTAAGATGATCCCATTTTTCTAGTCGTCACTTACATAAAGCTAATATCCAAATCTGTGTATCCCGTTTTTGCTTTTCTTCTTAAGGCCGATTCTGAATATCTCCAAACCTACTATTATCTCCGCTTGGGTGCCCCATGTTCAAGTCAAAAGGTTTAAAATTAAACCCATTTTTCCCTGTTTTCATCCTGTTTTTCTCATCTTGATTAATGTCTCAAAGACCACTAAAGTTGGAAATCTAAGCATCATTGTAGGTGCCTCCATTTCCCTCATTATACACATCCAGTTGATGCCAAATCCTGTTGATTTTATTTTTCAGCATCTGACTCCTTTGATCTGTACTATGGGTACTATATTAATCAATCCCCTTAGCATTTATCACCTGAAATATTTCTATAGCCTTCTGACAGGCTTGTCTTGTTCCATCCCTATACATTGTGTTCTACCCCTATATATTGTGATTTTTCTGGCACTTAAATCCTGGTTTAAAATCCTTTAAAGGTGTCTCATTTCTTAAAAAAAAAAAAAAAAAGTCCAAGTTCCTGAGCAACATTCAAGGCTCTTCCTGTGTGGCTAAGACCTTTCTGGTTTCATTTCCTTCTGCTTTTATATCCCCTTTCCCCCATCCCTGTCCCTTTCTCCCACCAGACTCACTCAAGTGTGCATGTGCTCCCATCTCTGACCTATGTTTCAGTAGGTTTTAGTCCCTCTTTAGGGAATGCACCTTCCCTGTAGTGAGTGACTTCACGGGCTGCAAGCTCACTTCCAATGGCACAGCCTTTGTAGCGCTCACCGTGGGAGTTAAGAGCTCCTCTCTCTGTGCTCCCCTTTAATTCATGTACCTTCCTGTCACTTGTCTAACTCTCCTGTGGGAAGCTAGGAAAGTAGTCATCGAATTTGTATTAAATTTTATTTTCTAGACGTCTTGAAGGAAAGACTTCTACGGGATATTTAAAAAGTTTCATGTTTGCTAATGATTAACTATTCTAGCATGTTAAAAAATAAATGCTTTCGTAGTTTAAAGTACAGAAAAGAAACTGAACTAGAGAAGGTAGCTAAGTGTTAAAGCTTGTATAATATAGCAATAAAGAAATCTAAATAGGATATAATTTAGCATACTTTAAAAAATGATAGCAATTAAGCAACTTAAAGATGGGATTATATGTGCTCTTTGTGATCTATTCTCTATAAGGTATCACATATTTTGAAGCCAAGCACATTCTTTAGATGTTATTTGATTTCATTGTGATACTGTCGTTTTTCTTAATCAGTAACTCGGCCCAAATATGGGTTATAATGTATAAGACATGAAATAGCTAATATTCTATATATTTTACTCATTTTATCTTGTTCGTTGTTCTCTCCACACACTGGAATGTCATTTCCATGAAAATGGGGATTGTAGTCTATTTAATTACCATCGTATCTCCAATATGTGGAACAGTTTCTGGCATGTCATGGAGACTCAATAAATATTAGTTGAAAGAATGAATAAGTAGTGATCGAAATAGGAAAAAGAAAAGATTTGATAAACTTGATAAAATACAACCCGTAGCTTTCCAAAAGAAATGAGATTAATAATCATGTGAAAAGAAAAGAAGTTCAACCAGCATGGAAAGAAAGCTGGTTGGAGGCATGCTGAGGCCCCCACTCACTTGCGTGGGTGAGATCGTGGGTGCCCACTTCTCCATTATATATCGGAACAGCATGAAGATCTTGTCAGATAGTCGGTTGGCATCCAATCTGGGATAAGGAAAATCTCTCCAGTGGTTGACATACTCGTAAATGGCCTTGCTGAACTTCTCCAGGGCTGCATTTTAAAAACAACCACAGACTGAGAAAAATATAAAGACAGGAAGGACCATAAAATAATTTGAGAAAAGAGTACTGATGATTAGCAAATACAGTGTAATAGTTTCTATAGAATCTTATGATTATGCCAAATAAACATATAAAAAGTGTTAAAGCCACATTAATGAAAAGTAAAATAAAACCAAAATGTGATACTACTACATACCATACAGAATGGCTAAAATTTAAGATAGTCAGTGTAAAGTGTTGACAAGACTAAGGTACAGCTTGTGTTTTTATATATTGCTGGTGGAAGTATGAATTCATACAAATACTTTGGAAAGGTGTTTGACATTATATATCAAAGTTGAATATGAGTTCTCTGTGACCCAGAGGCATAATCATTAGATATGCATACATATAGGCACTAAAAATCTTGCACGAGAATGTTAATATTAGGGTTTTTTTCTTTATAATAACCTCAAACAGAAAACAGTCCAAATATCTGCTAACAAGTAGAGTGGAAAAATAAATTGTAATTTAGACATGTAATAGTGCATAGAAATTAATACAAACTACAGCTACACAAAAAAACATGCATGAATCTCACAAACAGGCAAAACTAATCTATGGTGTTATAAGTCGGGATTCTGAGAGGATAGAGAGGGTGATAATTAGGAGAAAAAGATGAAGGAGGCTTCTGGGATGTTAGTAATGTCTCACTTCTTGACCTGAATGTTGGTCAAATAGATAAGTTTACTTCGTGACAGCTCATCAACCTGTACACTTACAATTTGTATATCTTTGTGGGTCTGTTTTACTTCAATAACATTTAACAAGACCTTGGGCCTACAAAACTGTTTGGGCCACTAACCCATATATATTTGCATCAAATGAATGAAGTAACATTATTTTTTCCTTTAGCCTTCATTCTACCCCTTTCATTGATGATAGAGAAAATTCATAGTTTCTCAAGAATATCTCACATGCAAAGAAAACTCTAGAAAAAATGTCAACTCTCTTAGCTTTAGAGCTGGCCATTTATTGGCTCACTAAAATTCCCTCCAAACTCTTTCTGATAACTTCAACATGCTACACTTCAACATAATCTTTTGTGCATGTCTGTGTATGTTGGTGCTTGTGTATACCTTGCACTGACTTATAGATAACATGAGAGAAGAGATAATGTCTTGTCTGTTGATGGTATCCAAAGCAATGAGTATAATGTCTGCTTATTTGCTGATTGATTGAATGAGGAGATAGATAGGTGGATGGAAGGCTATTTAATTTTATACCTGTTCTTTAGTGGCAGTCAGGCAAAAGTTGCTTTAGGACCAAAGGGAATGAGATAATTCCCTTATTCATTGCCATGATTTCTCATTTTATTTCCTTTTACTTTCTTTGCTGTTAATTTTGCAGGTAGAAATGCTATTAGAGGTGCCGAAATTTATTTTCGGAACACAATGTTAGATGTGATAGCAAGCAAGGGTAGTTAAAAAGTATTGAAAAGTGTGCTAAGTGCGCTAATCTACTATAGTTATTAAGTCAGACTGTCATTATTTCAACTTGGCTCTGCCACATACTGGCTGAGTGACCTTAGGCAAGCTGTTTAACCTTTCTAACCTTCCATTTTCTCGTCTTTAAAATGGAAGAAAGTCTACAGCCATGCCACCCTGAACAAGCCCAAACCTGTCTGATCTCGGAAGTTAAGCAGGGTCGGACCTGGTTAGTACTTGGATGGGAGACCACCTAAGAAGACCAGGTGCTGTAGGCGTAAAAAATAAAAATAAAAAAATAAGGGATTGTAAGCTAACAAGGTCCTTGCAATTTGTGAGGTCAACCAAGGGTTACCTTGCCTAAAACAAAATCTGTAGGCGAAAAAAATAAAAATAAAAAAATAAGGGATTGTAAACTGACAAGGTCCTTGCAATCTGTGAGGTCAACCAAGGGGTTGCCTCCCCCACCCCCCAAATAAATAAGTAAATAAATAAATAAATAAATAAATAAATAAAATGGAGGAAAAATGTTATCTACCTAATGAGGTTGCTGTGAGGGCTAAATGGAATACCCAAGACAGTGCCCAGGTACATAGTCAATTCTCAATATACATCAGATAGAAATATTACCTGCATTAAAAACAGAACAAGAGAAATGGGCAAAATAGAACAGAAAATACTTTGTTGATAGATAAGGAAGACACTTTATAAATATTATAAAAATAGTAGTATTGGGGATGTCGGGAGTGGAGGGGTCCTGGCACTCACTTCATTTGATGTTTTTAGAGGTGAAACCAAGATTGAGAGACAGGAAGAGGCACCTGATGACTCAGTGGCAGATCAGAGACAAGAATCCAGGTCTCCAGATTCACCGAGAAAGCCTCTTATGTGCTATAAATGCATTTTCCTAGGAATTCCAGGGCATGTTCTGCTCCATAGATTCTTGATTACTATAAATATATTGCAATTTGGAGGTGAAGGGGATTTATGACCCTAATTTGTTTACCTATTTTTCTTGATTTTATAATTGGTTGTATTTTGATTAGATTGTTTACTTATTATTATTGCATTATTGAATTATAAAGAAATGCTAAAATTTACACAATTGGTAAGAGCAAGTAAGCTCTCATAATCATCATTGTAAAGAAATTATGATCCAAATAAAGCAAGTGGCTAGTAGAAATGGTGACTATATAGGGCAGTGGAAAGAGTATAGATTGGGGGTTATATAGACCTGATAATGAATGCCGCCTCTACATCTCATTGACTATGTCACACCTTGGGAAAGTTGCTTAATATCTATGACCCTCAGTTTCTTAGCTGTAAAATGGTCTAATATGTACTTACTTTGCAGAATTGCTCTGAGGATTGAGACAACTCCCTGCAGAGGGCCTCCCATGTGGTAGGCACTCAGTAAATGGTAGCTATTCTTATTAGAAAGGACAAGGCTGGAGTAAATGAAGAAATACAACAGTTGCTCAATTCATAGTCTGGTCTTAACCAAGGAAACCACAGGGATACCCACCGACACAGAAAGCTCCCTTCATCCTTTCCTCCTCGGCCAGCCTGAGCATGGTTTGCATGGTGAGCAGGGTCATCATCATGAAGGGGATACTCTGGGACACTGCGGTGAAGGGTGAGAGAGGAGAAAGGCATTACCTTCTCACAGTGGGGAGTTCTGTGACTCCTCCTTGTGTTAACAACAAGCATTTCAAAGCTGCACGGGGAAGGCCATAATGCCAGGCTACAGTTAAAGAATCAGGGAATCAGGCTTAACATGAGATCCTAGCCATACAGCCACCTTTACCTATGTTTAGTAGCAATTACTTATTTGAATATTATTTTATTAATGTTAATCCCTCCCAACAGAACTTGCCTGTATCCCCAGGGTCTAGCACAGGCAATTGGTACTTAATGAATATCTGTTAAATAAAGTGGTGTAGAAAAAAATCATAAGAAACCCTTAATTTATGTAAGCAAGTATTCAGTGCTTTGCAGAATATGCCTTGTGGAAAATGTGCTTCTACAAACACAAAGTTGGGGGAAAAGGGAGGTGAGGATAGGAGAAAGTTCAGACAAATTTCAAGCAGCATAGACCAATGGCAGCTGGCAGGCTCATCTATGCCCATCAACCGTTGCCTAAATCCCTCTACCAATATGCTTTAGTTTAGCCCAAGGTAAAGATGCTCTCCCTTCTGCCGTTTTCTCCCATTGCGATTTTCAACAATTAGTTAGGGCAGTTGTTTCCCAGGAAAATAAGGAGAGTATTCCCTTCATACCATAACTGGTTGCTAGTTCAGCCAGGGCAAGCACAACAAATTCATCCGGTAGCTCCAGGATCCTGAAGTTACTTTGTACTTCATACATCACAGAATTGAAATCATGTGCAGCAAGAGACACCAACACCTCACCAGCTAGCATTCTAATTTCCCTGAGCATCTGAAAAAAAAGAAAATGACAATAACAAGTAGAGGAAGAGCAGAGTGAGTCTGCAGAGGAGACATAGAATAGATACTATTTATAAGTTTCCTCTGCTTTGGGATGTTTGCAAACCCAGGGTGGAAGCCTCAAAGGGAGGTGTCAGTAGCTGAGAAAGCAGAGATAATTTAGTGCTCTTTTAATGGGGTTCTGTGGACTTGGAGTCACTACATATTTCCTTGCTAATGGATCAGCCACCGTGAACATAGAATTTATGTTTCATGTTTGAGTGATATGAATTACTCTGCTAAAATTCTGAAGGCCATGATGAAAGGAAACTGGGGCTAGAAGTCTAGAACTTTGGGTTTCGGTACTGTTCTGATATAATAATATCTTTAATATTAGAGATATCTAGAGGGACTTCTGCTTTTGGTAATGGAAACCAGGCAAATTTGATCAACTCTGCGACTGAGGAAAATAAAAAAGAGTTGGATAAGATATTAAAAAATGTATACTTAGAAAAACAGAGAGTTTATAATACAGAGTGGAATAAATTACTGAGTTGAGATCTGGAAAAGACTGGAAATCCAGAGAGATAAGCCCAGCACGTAAGGCTGCTTTGCAGCATTGAGACGATAATCTCACCCTGGTCATCTCACCTTTCATCTTTTGGTCTAAGACCCTTTAGGGCTGCATTCAGATGGAAGGTTAAATTGGTCCTCCATGTACTGTACTCCAACTTTGAGTCACAGAAATTGCCAAGAAAATTTCAAGTGTTAGTGCTCTTGGCAAGTAAATAAGTAAACATCCTTTCTGGAAGAAAATACTGTTACCCTAGGACTCAAACTATTTCTACAAATAATTTTTTAGATCCAATGCCTAGCATGCATAGATAACTAGGCACATGAAGAGATAAGAATTTATATGAAAGACAAGAAAACTGGCTTCTAGTTATTTGTTCTGTCAATAGATACCTGTTACTTTGAAAGAAATCTCTCCAAGTGTTAACTTCTTCATCTAAAAGTGGATTGGATAATATTACCTCTAAAGTCTTTCTTAGCTTTGCCTTAGTTTCTTCCTCTGTGAAAGGGTAAATAATAGGTACTGTAAATGTACCCAAGTTATTATGAAAAAGAAATAAAAGTGATTTATGGCTTTGGCAGTGATATTAAAAAAACTTATATATGTCTACATGGGTGCAGTTGGGCTACTCAAAGACTTGTTGCTGGCCCTGAGGCCGATTCATCATCAACAATCAAACTTACATTGTTGTCTCTCATGTCCTTAGAAGCATAATAAATCAACCTTTGGACAATTGCATCATCCAAGATGTCAGTATTCTGAATAATTGAAGAAAGATGGCTATAAATGTCTTCCTGTGAAGATACAAGGGATACACAGAAATATGAGTTGCAAAAGTAAAGGAATCAGATGAAGTCCAAAAGAACAGCGCCATTAAACCAAGCAATGTATTTGTACTACACAATGGATTTTATGTATCTTAATTGGGGCTTCCCGAACATAATATGCATCTTGAGAAGTCAAAGGCTTTTATGTAGAGCTAAGTTTATTCTAAAGATTATTTTAATGACTACATTTCTATGGCAAAACCTAATTGACAACAGGAGTAGGCTCCCTGAGAGATCAGTGTTATAGGGCACTCGGCAGAATGGAAATGCCCATCAATCTAATTGTTGCTGTTGTTACCAGGGAGTGACTATGGTTGTGAGAAACACAAAGTGATTACCAGAGAGGCTGTTAAGTTATGAAATTTGTTCCTAAGAGAGATTTAGAGTCCCCTGCTTCATTCATGCCTTTGTGGACAGAAAGTTGTGAATCTTTTTGGATAGAGCTGCAGCTTCTGGGAATCGTATGACTTGACTGGGTGCTGTGTGTGCTGGCTCTTCTCAGTCTCTTAGGTGGTTATGTGGCCTTCGGGAGATGAGAGACCGATGTTCTGAAATCTCCAACAGCCTCGAGGTGCTGTGCCCATGTTTACAATGTGAAACAACCCTGTTTGCATAAGAGATTCTAATATGTAATCAGGTATGACAACCACTGGATTAGAGATAAAGGGGTGGGCATTGCCCTTCACAGGGGGGGACCTATTAAATCATGACTAAAAGCATTCTTTCAGAGTCAGACAGGCTTGTGTTTAGATGTAGCCCTGCTGTTCTTAGGCAAGTCATGTAACTTCTCTGTGCCACACTTTTTCTTAGTTGTCAAATGGAAATCTTGATACCTACCTTATAAGGTTTTGAGGAATGATTATAATACAATGTGCTATTGTTTGGAAGGCATCTAGCTAGCATTCTACCTCCTACATAAGTGTTCATTGAAGGGTAAGTATTGTTATTTTAATTAAAGGTCGATGAAGCCAGAATAGCCTTTAAATCCCAGAGAAAAACATCTCTAGTTGTAAGATAGCATTACAGATGCATAGGAGAGATTTTAGGGATTTTCATAGGTGCTCTCAAATTACACAGGAGGCTCTAATCCCCATGGTTGTAGGTCCAACATTACTCTCTTTCCACATCTGCCTGTAAAAGGTTATGGAAAGGGGCATTCTTTTGTTAGCTTCTAGAACTAGATACTCTGATTCCTCAAATGCCAAATATAATTGTTTGGACATTATAATGACTTTCATTATAAGTGCACTTTCTGATAAATTGATGTATAAGAAGCCAGAGAGAAAAGAAGAGGTTGAAGCAAAGAAGGATGTATATGAAATCTTGCAATATCTGGCTTAGAAAAAGTGAATGAGAAAGAGATCTTTTTTCTATTTTTCTTACCTTGCTAATATTATCTTCCTTGTTCAGCATGCCGAGAGTGAGGTTAATATCTCCAAAAATCTCTAAAATGCACAGAAAAAGAATTAATGTTCTTAACAGGAGAAAAATGTTCTCTCTCTCTCTCTCTCTCTCTCTCTCTCTCTCTCTCTCTCTCTCTCGCTCCCCCCCCCCCACCCCGTCTCTTTCTTCCTCTTCCTTCCCCCACCTCTTCCTCTTGCTTTGCCCCTTTTCTTTTTCACTGCAAGCTCTGTGTTGGCAGGAATTATATCTTATCCATATTTCATATACATGACAAACTTGAAAATAGACTATTGTTAGTGTCTTTTTCAAAATCTGAAATGATGTGGAGGGGTAGATAAAAGATGCTAGATTTCTATTTATCCCTCCAGTCATGTAGGCTTCGCCTTACATACACTGTCTAGCAAGGCTCGGCCCTCAGATTCCAAGAGCCGAATCCCTTACACCTGACTTCACCCCCTCCAGGTTCCTTTTT